GTAATGAATGCCTCAGCACATTTTGCTCAGAGGTGGCTTCCTAACTTGCCTCCCCGCTCTTAGTGTGGCCTTGATTCACCCACCACCGCCAGGACCAGCACTCTTTCTTTCTTTTTTTTTTTTTTTTTTAAAGTTTAAAATGTTTAATGAAAAAGACCAAGAGCAAAGCATTATTTACACGTGGGTAAGAAAAGAAGACAGACCCAAGACCGCATCCTAGGCGGGTTGCGAGGCACCACTAGCCTTGTTTCTTTTCGCAAGAACTTTGTCTCCTTCCTACATCCTCTCTGTGAGCTGCAGGTGTTGTCACGCCCTGACAATGTGGTTAGAGGGGTCAAGGTTCAATTCCCACGTGTGCCGAAACCTCCTTAAACAAACTGCTCTGGACAGTCCCGAGGGGACAGAGCTGGCCAACTCGTCCCGAGCGTAGCAGACGCCTCAGATCAGATCGGCAACGTTCATGGGCATCTCGCCGATCTGCGTGGAGTAGTACTGCTCAATGTCCCGCAGGATGCGGCTGTCCTCGTTCTTCACGAAGTTGATGGCCACGCCCTTCCGGCCTTACCTCCCCGACCGCCCGATTCTGTGGATGTAGAACTCCCGGTTGTTGGGCAGGTTGTAGTTGATGACCAGGGACACCTGTAGGACGTCCAGGCCCCGGGCCCAGACGTCGGTGGAGATGAGCACCCGGCTGGTGCCGGACCGGAACTCCTTCATGATGGACTCCCGCTCCTTCTGCGGCATGTCCCCGTGCATCGACGACACCGTGAAGTTGGCTTCTCTCATTTTCTCCGTCAGCCAGTCAACCTTCCTCTTGGTGTTGCAGAAGATGACGGCTTGCGTGATGGTCAGCGTGTCGTAGAGGTCACACAGCGTGTCAAATTTCCACTCTTCTCTTTCCACCGCCACGAAAAACTGCTTGATGCCTTCCAGCGTCAGCTCATCACGCTTCACCAGGATGCGGATGGGGTCCGTCATGAACTTGTTGGTCATCTCCAGCATCTCGTGGGGCAGCGTGGCGCTGATGAGCACCACTTGTGTGGCCGGGGGCAGGTACCTGTAGACGTCGTAAACCTCCAGGACCAGCTTTCTGGTGAGCAAGTCACAATGCCACTGGCCCTTCAGGGCGGAGAGCACACAACCTCTGAGTCCTTGCTGACCTTTTTTACTCTGCCTCTCTGCCTGTCCAGGCCTCTGCCCCCTCCCTGAAATCTCCGTGGAAAACTTAGCATCCATGGACACACTTGCTGCCCGGTGCCCCTGTGCTTGCGCACACGCCTTTCCTGCCTGGAGATGGAGATCTAATAGGCTAATGGGCCTTAGGTTCTCGCGGGCACCTAGTCTAGAATTTACCGGCTTGTTTCAGGCTGCTTACAGGGGTAGCCCGCAAGACAGTGCTCTCTTAGTGGAGGGACCCTATTCTGTTCATCTTTGGTCCCAAGAACCTGCTATGGTCCCTGAGATATTGTGAGTGGCCCCGAACAGAAATACTTTCTTTGTTCCGAATGGACTCTCTGCCTCAGCAGCTGACTTTTTGGGAAACCTCCCTGGAGGCTTCAGGGTTCCTGCCGGCCCCCGCCGCGCAGGTGAA